TTCAGTAATTAATTTAGTTTTGTTTCAAGAAAATGGTACCATAACTTCTTTTGATCAGTCAGTAATGAAATTTTCATTTACTGTACGTTGTAGTACAGTTTACGAGTAAAATACAGCCTCAGAGAAGTCTCTCCGACGTCTCAAGAAAAAATTATTTAGAATTTGGCAAGAGCCCTTTTTACATAACAAATAGGAATGAACAAAAAGTTATGAATATTTGGAACAAACATTTATACCACTCATAAAGTATACAAACAACTTCAAAAAAAATTATAGTGAGATTTTTTGAAGCAAGACCAAATTAATTATAAAAAATTTTCCATTGAAGAATATCCGTGCAATTTCCTAGTAATTTGGGTGCGAATTTGCGGGGTCAGCAATAAATTATGACCGAAGACCGAATGCCTTTTGCTCCTTTATGTATGATGGCTGATGGTAAAAAAAAGTTATAACATTTTTTATGAGTAACGTTTTACGATTTTATCTAAACTTTATTTGAACTCAAAAAAAGCTGACCACATTTTTTATCTTTCCCACTTAAGGGCAGTAAAATGTGAAAAATATTCTATTTTCATGCTAATCACTGATTACAATTCATCTTATCGCTTAATTGAAAATTGGCCATTTAATACTTCAGCTATGTTTGATATAAACAAATATTGAAACATGTCCAGACTAGGTAAATAGCGCCTATACAAATTTAAATGTAGTTCGTCCACTACTCCACTGGGCAGATGCAACAAATGCTATTTTACTTCAGAAGCACTGCTATTGGTCGAAAAAGATCAAGTTTCAAGGACAAAGAACAGCTCAGAAGTCCGAAAAAACAGTCAGTCAGTCAGTCACAGCCTGTGACTCACAGGCCTGTCACATTAAAGAAAATATCGGAGACGGCTGTTACTGCTGTTCCGAATATTTTCTGTTCATTGAATATTGCTATTTGCCGAATCATGGGTGCACGTCCCACTCCCATACATAAAAAACCTTACCACTTCACGAGAATAAAATATCTCCTTTCGCTAAAACTCAGACCAATTGACAACGCCGCGGGGAATCAAAAGGCACAAAGGCAGGTATTTGCCTTTTGCTTTGTTGAAATATCGAAATACCATGTTGTACTGGTCCTGACCAGCATCGCAGCGAGCCCTGTTATTTCAAATCACATGTTATTTTAAATATCGGTCACAGGTACCGACTGTTCCATATCGATATCTGTTCCAAAATACCTGTGACAAGTATTTCGTG